AATCGATATCCTGAGGAATTTTGTCTTCGGTTATACTATTCTTGTGGACGATTTCCAGCATCTTGCACACTCTGGATAGCATATCGATCAACTCTTGAAGAAAGAGAAAATGACCAAGTGGAAGAGGAGGATAATCCGATAGAAGGTCATTATTATACTTGCAAATCTGGCGCTGGAACAGTCGGCACCTGTGCTGTCATATGGTACATAGGATATGCAAGACATCAGGAAAATATTCACTATCCTTCTGCAAGACTGATTCAGAGTGTGCAAGATGCTGGAAATCGTCCACAAGAATAGTATAACCGAAGACAAAATTCCTCAGGATATCGATTGCATCACCTCTTGTAGGAACTCATTAATGGTTTGACACACAATCCTCGGTCTTGCCTTAGCTGGTCGAATCAACCCTTCTTGCCTTAGTTGGCTGGTTCGCATGTTCAATATTTATTTATTACATAAAAAAAACTCATAAACTATCTTTATTGCTTATCCCCGCAGGGTTTGCAAGGCGTTTTTATAAGGAACGTTACCCAAACCTTTACACTACTACCCTTTTTCCTCTCACTTTAACCCTTTAGACCAACGGCTTAACGTCTCTTTCCGAAAGACGGAGCCCAGTTTGCTCTGCACAAGAGCCTATCTTGTACGGAGGGGCGCAGCTTCGGAAAAACATTCCATGTTTACATGGCTCTAGTGGACTCGGTAATTATTTAGTTTAGGGGCCTTACTTCAAATCTCGATGGCTTTTCTCCTCTGCACCCTCCCCCATGCATGTACTTTATAATTTCGTTTTACAACTTAGCATGTACTTTATGTTGTAAAGCGAGGTCCACGCAGCCTACCGGCGGAATGGGTGCGGGAGAGGGGGGGCCGAAAACCCCCCCCTCGCACCCCCCGTTGTGTGTGTGTGTGTGCTTTCCACGCATAATTAAACTAATGAAACTCCCAGCGTGAGACCTAACTGCTTGAATCGAGATGCTTGGTTATTCTGCACGATTGATTCATTTAAAATTGGCGCAGTTTTACATGCGCGTGCGACCACTGAGCATGCGCATGTGGCCGCAGGGCACGTTCAGTGTTGCTACATGTCGTCGGTATGACAGGAATCATAACCTGATTCCTGTCAATTTTAACGTTTAATATCTCGCGTCGCGGGGCAGAGCGACACTTTTTTCTGCCAGATTCTTTCGTTTCGTACAAAAACGCGTCGATTGAGCATATTTACATCGAGGTTTGAGGTGAGGCCCCTAAACTAAATAATTACCGTGGACTCGAACCTGGTTCCTCAGATTACGAGTCTGGCGCTCTACCACTAGACCACACTGCCGCCTTACTTATTTATTATATATATATATATGTAAAAATCGATTTTTATTTATTTCGTGAATAAATATCAATGTATCACTTATACTTATAACACACGTCTTACTACTGTGGATGACCGTATTTCACTACTTTGACCCTTTATATCTTGGGAAATATTGACTTTTGGGACTTGGTGCAATGATAACTTTTTATCAGCATGGCGAAAACTATAACATAGTGAAATTTCAGTCAATTTGACCGAAAACCATTTTTCCGTGGTTTTGTGCAGGGTCCTTTTTCGAATGTGCTCAATAATAAAAACTTTTATTTAAAACGGAATAATTTCGTCACGTCAGGTACGAACTTGTCCGTTCCTGTTTTACAACCTTATTTCGCAGGAAATAAGTCTCACGTAGGCAAATTTTTGAAGCCAAGCGTATTTGATTATTTCGTAAACTCTTTGTCCAGACATAAGTCCTAAAAATACACGGTCATAAATCATGAAAACTATTCTCTAAAACAGCGAACACAAAGCGAACCTGGAGGTCGATTCTGTATCCGTTCTTTTTTCTTCCCCTACCCTCGAAGCAAAACACTCTTAAAAATTCCACTTTCCGTTTTCAGCATCTTAGCGTCCTATCCTTTTTTGAGCTTAGCGTCGTCTAACACGTGCTCTTGCCAAAATGACGCTGGTCGGCTTTTCCGCTATTTTTCTGCGTGACTTCAGCGTTGTCCACCACTTGCAGTCCCAAAAAGACGCTGGACACCTTAGGCGGGAGAGCCAGTCAGACGCTGGATAGGTATGGGGTATCCAATCAAAACGCTCCATTTAGTTACTATTTTGAATCCGACATTTTTGTTTCGTAGTCGTCTACCACGTGCAGTCCCAAAAAGACACTAGACACCTTAGGTGGGAGAGCCAATCAGACGCTGGGTAGGTATGGGGTATCCAATCAAAACGCTCCATTTAAATCCGCCATTTTTGTCTTCTAGTCTTCCACCACGTGCTATTCCCTCAATCCCGCCAGACACCTCAGGGGGGAAGGCCAATCAGACGCTGGGTAGGTATGAGGTATCCAATCAAAACGCGCCATTTAATTACCTCGTTACTCCCACCCCCACGCGGCAGCCAATTAGAGCGCTTCGAGCTCACGTGGGCAGACCGTCTGGCCACGCCTCTGGCGCCAGAGGGGTCAGTGATGGGGGTTTGTTTTGATTCCCCATACCTACCCAAGTGGGTAGGAGTAGTAAGTCTACTCCTACTTATTGCCGTCGCTGTCTCGCGACCGGTGGACATTATTGCGTCTTGTGCGTGTTTTACTGTGCACAAGTGTGCCAACTAATTGTTAGCGCCACAAGTGCGCCCACTAATTGCAAACGCCACAAGTGCGCTCATACATATTGCCGTCGCTGTGTTGCGACCGGCGAACACTCACGCGTCACGTGCACCTTCGCAACCGGTGAACACTCTCGCGTCATGTGCACGCTGTATATTTAAAACTGTTACCGCGCCTAATTACTGTAAAGGTGCGTCGATCGTAAATCGTCACCTCCTATGTTAAGACTTTTATTAAACTGATGCTTTGCACTATTGTTAACAACATTAGTGTCCTCACTCTACCGCACGCCTTATCCCTGTCGGGGTAGAACCCACGCTTACGCTAATTGGCGCTATGGAGTTACGCCTGGAAACGCCAACAATATGCTTTTGGTACAATCGCCATATATTTTATGTAGAATTTTGGGATAGTATTCTACAAGTAATTTTTTTGAACTAATAAAATAGGTTGGCGGAAGTTTAAAAAAATAAAATATTGTTTTTTTTTAATTATGATATGCTTTTTGTACCATTGCCATATTTTTTTGTAGAATTTTAGAGACGGAATTCTATAACAAGTAATTTTTTCGAACCAATATGTTGGGCTGAGGTTAGGATAGAACACACACACTGATTATATGTAATATAAAGCAACTTATTTATTCGGTATAATGACTCGCAGAATAAACGCAGTGTGCGTACAATACGAGAGTGCATCGACTCAGGGGATGCTGAGCGATATACATATATAAAAAGAGTAGCGCCACGGTACTGCTTCCTCATAGAGGAAGCTTTGTTTTCGTAAAAAAAATTTTTTTTGAGTTGCTTTTGCCAATGTGTTCAGAATGTTCTAAAACGTCGAAAAATCGCTATTTTAAAAAATGTCGGTATGTGTGTATGTGTGTATGTGTGTATGTATGTGCCAAATTTACCGAAATTTCTATAACTCCAGAACTAATCAACCAAATCTTAACGAATTATATATGAAATAGGGGTAGAAAAAACTGAAGAATATATAGAATTAATAAAAATTGCTAATAATCAAGGGGTTCTTTTTTAATAAAATTTTGAATTTTTGCAGAAATGTTTGTTTATGCTTTAATTTCCGCAAATTTGGACATATCGATCTATTTCTAATTTTATTATATTTTTCAGTTTTTTCTACCCCTATTTCATATATAATTCTTTAAGATTTGGTTGATTAGACTCAGCTTTATACGTAATCAAAGGTCCCTAATTTTTAGAAAAATGTCTTTAATAGCTTTAACTTCTGTAAATTTTAAGATATTTTGCAAGTAGAAATCTTTGCTCACAAAGCTTCCTCTATGAGGAAGCCAAAACAAATAAAGGAAGCTTTGTGAGCAAAGGTTTCTACTTGCACACTTAAAAACTATGAGGAAGCAATGTGCAGGTTTCTTCTTGCACACTTTACTTGTTTTTATTTTAATTCACTTTATTGTATTATTTTTCTAGTACCTGCACCTATTTATTTAATCAATTCCGGAAAATTACTTGTTGTAATATTCCATTCCAAGATTCTAAACAAAAATATGGCGATAATACCAAAAAACTATGATAATTTTGAAAAAAATTCTGTTTTTTAAAGTACCTTCCATTTATTTTATTGGTTCGAAAAAATTACTTGTTATAGAATACCGTCTCAAAATTCTACAAAAAATATGGCAATGGTACAAAAAGCATATCATAATTTTAAAAAATACAAAACAATATTTTATTTTTTTAAACTTCTGCCTATTTATTTTATTGGTTCAAAAAAATTACTTGTAGAATACTATCCCAAAATTCTACATAAAATATATGGCGATCATACCAAAGGCATATCATATTTAAAAAAAAAAAAATAAAAAAAAATAGTTTATTTTTTTAAAGTATCGCCTACCCCCCATTTTATTGCTTCCAAAAAATTATATCTGATAAAAAACTACTCCAAGATTCTACAAAAATTTTTTCGTAATTGTACCAGAAAGATATTGGGACTAAAAAAGAGCAAGAACATTTATTTATTTTTTTTATCAATGTTTCTATCAGAAACCTTTCCCAAATTTTCCACAAATGTGTCTCAATGATATCTACAACATATTAAAATTTCATCAAAATTGGTTAAGCCGATCAAAAAATATAAATTATTTTCAAAATTTTTATTTTTATTTTTTACATCAAAACGGTTCAATATTAAGGGCTAATATTTGACTAAATTGTAAGTGACACTAATAGCAATCAAAACAAAAAAAATCAGCATAATCCGTGTGCGAGCACATTGATCCTTCTTATCCGGCTACGGCCTTTTCGAGTCAAGTAACGTGTTGTGAGATGATATAGGTTGTAGAATAGAAATAATGTTTTCTTTGTACAGATTGAATCTAAATTGGACGAGCAATATCTAATAGTGAAAGGGAAAAATGTCAGTTGGTATAGACCTACGAATCTCAAAACATTGCTTGCTCTTAAGGAACAGTATCCAAATGCTAAGATTGTCATCGGTAACACGGAAATCGGTTCGTATATTTCCCTTTCGTACATATTGCGATGTCAGAATATAAGAAATCATTTTATACTGGTACAGGGGTTGAAATGAAGTTTAAACATTTAATATACCCAATACTTATACAACCGACGCAAATCAAAGAAATGAATGGAATTATTGAAATACCAGAGGCATTAAGAGTGGGTGCGAGTGTGACTTTAGTCGAGCTTGAAGAAACATTAAGATACTATATTCAAATAAAACCTGGTAATATATATCTAGAATTATATTTATTAATATTATAATTAAAAGTTTAAATGCATAAACAATTTAATGTGTATAAACAATTATAACTATAATCATTATGATGTAATTGTCATTTGACAATAATATTATCTAATGTAAAAAATTATGTAAAAAGATAATTATATGTTGGATATAACATAAAATTATAATGTTATCCCGATAGAATATAATACAAGGATCTTCAGGGAAATAATAAATATGTTACATTGGTTTGCTGGAAAACAGATAAGAAATGTTGCTGTAAGTATGGGTGTCTTTCTGATGCATTATAATTGTTATTTATAATAATTTTATTTGAATAACAAATCTTTCTCGATTAGGCTGTGGGTGGCAACATAATGACTGGTAGTCCAATATCAGATTTAAATCCAATCTTTATGGCTGCGTGTATTAAATTAAATTTATGCAGTTTAAACCATGACAGTCGAACCATACCAATGGATCATACCTTTTTCGTCGGATATCGACGTAACATTGTTTTACCTGAGGAAGTACTAGTTTCTATTGACATTCCCTTCACGAAAGAGGTAAAAAGTAATAATAAAAGTGCTAATAAATAACTTTGTCACGGCAATGAAGATCGTTTCTCGCCTTTATATTTTTGCAGAATCAATACTTTATTGCCTACAAACAAGCGAAGAGGCGAGATGATGATATTGCCATAGTCAACATGGCCTTAAATGTATATTTCGTTCCTGATACGAGTATAATTCAAGAAGCGCTTATTGCATTCGGTGGGATGGCACCTACTACGATCTTAGCGAGACAAACTTGTCAGAAAATAATTGGAAGGTATAATATTATTAATATCATCAAATAATTATACATTATGTTTCAATATACAGGATTCCTAAGTAAGTAAAAAAATTGAAGGAGATATTCCGTGGCTTTCCTAAGAGCACAGTTGACGGAAAGTCGACGGCAAGTCGACTTTTATAAGTCGACTTCTAGTCGACTTCTAAAAATGACGGAAAGTCGACTTCTAAATAGTTTACTTATAAAAGTCGACGGAAAGTCGACTTCTAAATAGTCGACTTATAAAAAGACAGAAAATAGTCTAGCAGTCATTTTTATTTTATATTAAACGGCGCGTCATGCATCATCAATATGGCGGCGAATCTCGAGGAGGAGCAGAGCTTACGCGAGCGCGAGGAATACGTGCCGAGACAGGACACGATAAGACGTCGTAAAGCGCCGCGCTATCAACCACCGTCACGAAACGTCGTCGTCGTCGTCATTTACAGTCCTCGTCATCATTGTCTTCCCGTTGACTTCCTTCGATACTTATTTCGATAGTTTCTCCAGCAGGGGGTTGATTAATTGTGTATCTTGAAATGATGAGGTAAAATTACAAAAGTGAGGCAATTCATTAGCGTATCTACGATTTTATTTATCAAAATCTAGTAAAATCTGTTCACTTTTGTCATTTTCACCTTGTTTCAAGATACGACCTCCAGACGTACGCGGCGGTTTATTTTATCAACGTTAAAAGTTGGCGGGAAGTCGACTTTTCGTCATGACGAGAAGTCGACTTTTTGTTATGACGGGAAGTCGACTTTTAATCGACGGTTTTTGAGACATTCACCGATTTGAAGTCGACTTTCGTCCTTAAAAAAGTCGACTTCTCTGCCAAGTCAGTTTCGGTAGAAGTCGACTTTTTGCTCTTAGGGTTGTTTTAGAAAAAAAGTCCTATTATAAACGTATGCCCTAAACTGCTTCATTTTCAAAATACAGGGTGTCAAAGACGCACGTCCCTGGTGGATCTAAAAATGTTTTATTGGAAAATGGTAACTTAATACCAGGTGTACATACACATACCAAATTTAAATAAAATATCTTTAAACGTTTTCTAGATTTTTGTTCATGTATTTTTTCACAACTTTGACATCCTGTATTTTGAAAAAAAAGCAGTTTAGGGCATATATTTGTAGGACCTTTTTTTCCTAAGATAAGCCACAGAATATCCTCCACGATTCAGCTTAGACCATAAATGGCGATTTAGTTTAGCACAATATTTATACTCCAATAACCATATCTGTGGAGACAGATGTAGGCAACAAATTTTGTTTGCAGAAAGGCAGTAGAAGAGAAACAAACTTTATCATTGCAAACATTGTTAGCAGAATTCCAGCAGATATTTACTAATATCTGTCGGCAGACTATATGACGGAGAGATGTCAATAAGGCCGTTTTTTGGCCCACGTCAGAATCGCTCCAAACAGTGGTATTTTCTTTCTACCGATGTAGCTCACAACCTCCTAGAACCGTTTGCTGTCCGAGCAATTAGAGGCTGAGAACGGGCAACTTGAAATCTCAAAAATCAATGAAGTTTTTCACATGGTGGTAGTGCCGGTCTCATTTCAGCATGTCATTGTTGAGCTACATCGGTAGAAAAAAAATACCACAGTTTGGAGCAATTTTGACGTGGGCCAAAAAACGGCCTTATTGACACCCCTCCAGCGATAAACAACAAGTAAGTGGTGACGAGATTGTCGGGGTAAACACTAAGCAGCTTATCGCAAACATTATCAGCAAACTGTTTGTAGAAATGCAACAGTATCTGCTAATCATAATATACATCAGATTGGCGGCAAAGTATAAACAGTAGTGACAGTAAGCGTCAGCCTTAAGGCTTTGGCACATAGAAAAACTTAAGCAGTAAAACCCAAGCAGTAAGCAAATCAGCCAATCACAGTCAAGAACTTAAGGCACGGCCCTAAGCGGTAGCGAATCCATACTGTTGATTTCTTACTGCTTAAGTTTTACTGCTTAAGTTTTTTTATGTGCCAAGGCCCTTTACCTTTGATGTAGTAGTTGCCAGGTCACATGACTCGCCGCCATCTTCCTGATTACATGAACGCTTAAGAGAGAAAGAGAGAGAAGTATCTTTCTCTTTGTCATACATACAGGCCGCCATATTCCTGGTGTACCCTTACTAACTGGCAATGGGACTAAAAACGTTCACTATCACTACTGTTTATACTGTGTTGGCGGTCAATAGCGAGCAGGTATGTCGAATACGTTGACGACCACTGAAATATGTACATACCGGAACGCGCACTGCCTGTGCTACAGCTAAGCGGAAAACAAGGGTGAGATAAACTGCTTCAGGGTAGAGATCCTTAACCAGAGATTAGACAAACCGTTAAGCCAAATGCCAATATTTTTGATCGCTATTTAGTCCCGAATTGAAAGGTCGCTGACTAAGTTAACAAAAAATAATTTTATCGTACTTTATTATTTTGAATTTAAATGGAGTTGCAAGATTATTTTTTAAAAAATATAGAAAATTTTTTAAAAATATTTTTTTTTAATATAGAAAAATAGATCAATTAAATATTTAATATTATTCCTTTTTTCACCGCTTTATGTTGTAATGCAAGTATATAAATTTATAATTGCAAAAGACAAGGACAAATCAAAAAAGGTTTCATTATAAGACAATAAGGGCCTCCGCACAATGAAAAATATAAGGAACAAGAAACAGATATTAGCGATTAGAAATAAGAAATCAGGAATAAAGCTGGTGTAACATCAATACACGGCTTTCGATAGGTTAAAAATCTGGTAATTATGCATATTAAGACCCCACTCGCCAATGACCTTGACCTTGACATATATTGTCAAGGTCATGACCCTGAGTAACCTTGACCTTGAAAAAAGTGGCGGTCACGATCCGTTCAAAAGTTACGAAGCATTAAAGTTTTCGCTTTGTAAAATTAGTTCCCGGGAAAAAAAGATTATATATAATTATATATAAATATATATGATTATATATAATGCAATTATATATGAATTTTGTCTCTATATGATCATACCCAGATAGCAAAATGTTAGCAGAATGCGCGCAGATTGGCAGCAAATTTGATCAAAATCCCACACCAAAACCATAGCCATCTGTGTCCGCATTAAGCTCGTATTCTATCGATAGAGCTTGCTGACAGACAATGTAAGCAGATTGCCAACAGAAACCGCGCAGACAAAACAGCCTGCATACAAAACCTGGCAGCAAAAACAAAGCAGAGCTTGCGCGCTCGACCTGAGAACAGATTGGCAGCAAAAACCGAGCAGATTTATCCATACCCATACAGCACAAAATATTTTTTAAATATTTTTTAGAAAGATTAAAATAATTTACAAAAATATTTTTTAAATGTTTCTATGTCCACCAGATTATGTCAGCAAAATATTTTCGAAAATATTTTTAAAAGATTGCAAATAAATATATACAATAATATTTGTAAAATCTTTCTATCAGAAATATTGCTTCGAAAAATAAAATATATATGTTTAATCCAATCAGCAATAATTGTTTCACGTTTGAAAGATTTTTTTAATATTTAAAAAATATACATTACACACAATATACTTTACATCTTACTTTAGAAAATATTATTTTGCATATCTATATCATTGCAGCAATTTTGGTTGAGCCTTGCGTTGTATTGCTGACAAAGATATGTCTCGTAGATGTTATGATTTTGCTTCGCAGGAGGCCTGCTTATATTAGCCCTCTGAAATTTACTTACGAGTTAGTCTTACCATTATGCGCCGCTTAGTAGCGTCGTTGCAAACTATCACGGAAAGGATCTGTTCGGTTTTTGCTGCCACTCTGTTCTCAAGTCATACGCGCAGGCTCTGCTCGATCTTTGTTGTCAATCTGCTGCCAAGTATATGTGCAGGCTCTGCGCGGTTTCTGCTGCCAATCTGCTCACATTGCCTGTCAGCAGGCTCTGTCGCATTTCTGGCTACAGTTTGACAACATCATCTGATAGAGCAGTTTCCGCGTGCAATTTGTTGCCTTTCTGATACCAAAAATTTAATGCAGACTCTGCTTGGAATCTGCTGCTCAGGTTTGGCTACCTGGGTATATACCCAGATAACAGAGTGCGTCAAATGATGTTACAATGCCGTCGAAGTGACGTCTCTAACGACAACAATCCGTCACTTTAACTGCACTATTACGCCACTTGATGCCACTCTACTATCTGATGGGTAATTATATATTATATCACACGTGCGTGGAAAGTGGCCCAATAACATTACCACACTGTTTCGACTCGTGTTTGGACCTGGCCATCCGTCGCACAGATGACGCGCGCGCAATAATGGGCCACTTTCCACGCACTTTGTAATATAAAATAGGGTGTGTAACACGTGCGGGATGAGAATTGGACACTCGTGCGGGTGATCGCACGAGCCGAAGGCTCGTGCGTCCACTCCGCACTCGTGTCCAATTCTCAACTTCCCGCACTTGTTACACAAATAACTATAATCATATATAATCATATATGAACATATATAATGAGATTATATGTATGTAAATAGATATAATCATATATATGACCATATATAGTCAAAATATATTGAAAAAGAACTGTAAACTTCGATAATAAAGCATTGATAAATTGAGATTTATATTTTTTCAAAAGCTATAGAATCAAAAGTGAAATGATTTAATCCATATATTATAACTTTGGCACTGTTTGACGTGAGACATTTTTATATCACTGTCTGTCAAATTTTACGTACGACAAACGAATCTTATCGAATACCATCTATTGGATAATTTGAATTTAAAGTTTATATATGATTATATATAATCATCCCAGATAGCACAAGACGTCCTCAGGATCGTCCTGAATATGTCCAGGATATCCTGGGATATTTAGTTGTTTTCCATATAGCCAATAACATCCTCGGAAAATCCGAAGGACATATATTGTCGTAAATATTTTATATAAAAATTTTATTTTATTTCATTAATTGTAAAATACTTAAAGTAATTTCAG